GACTTTACAATTTTTAAAACACCAGAATAAGAGCAATAGATCAACAAAATCTTGTTATTTCAGAACTGAAAAACAGCAAGTTATACCAGACAGACTGTTGGGAACTGGTGTTATAGTCACCAACTGAACATTCAAAGAACTCTCCCACCTACATTCTAAGGCTTCAAATTGCCAGGGTTTTGACATTTATTTTTTTCAATTGGTACAAACTTTTCCTCATAGGCCCACTGGGCAGAAAAACAGTAAAGGGCAGAACTTAAAGTAGTAGAAATTACACATCTAGGGATGCGGACAGTTTTCCGGGTTTCCTCAGCTTTCTAGAACAAAGACAAGGCCAGCTGACACTCACACGGCTTCCTGGTCATATGTAAGCTACTATTCCTCACGTTCCTTCCTCGTGGAGACTCATGTGTGAAAGGGTGGCCCATCTGTGAACAAGCAAGCACTCTCCCACAGAGGCTCAGGAACTGTCCATGCTGGGGCGCCTGGTGGCTCAGTCTGGGTAAGCGTCTGACTCTCGGTTTTGGCTCACTCAGGTCATGGTCTCACGCATCTGAACCTTGCATCAGGCTCCGTTATGACAGTGCTTGGAATCCTCTCTCTCCCGCGTCTTGCTGCCCCTCCCCACTTGTGTTCTCTCCCTCTCTCAGAATAAATAAACTTAAAAAGAAGAAGAAGAAGAAGGAGGAGGAGGAGGAGGAGGAGGAGGAAGAGGAGGAGGAGAAGAAGAAGAAACTATTTGTGGTGACAACACGGATGGTTTGCATTCCGCCCTCTTTGAGTTCTCTGTAACTGTGTATGTTGACACATTACATATGGGTAGCTCCTCACAGAAACAGAGATTGTCTGCTTCTTTATCACGCCGGGATTGTGGCCTCAGTTACACCAGCTTCTTTGAGACTGAGGGCTGCCCACTGCCCTCGCTTCAGCCTCCTGCACATGTCTAAGGAAAAGTCTCAAAGTTTCCTTTTCTCTCTATGAATACACTTAATCGTAATATAATTCATAGCAACAGAGTAATAGCTTTACTTTTCGTTGTCCATATTTGTGATCACTGATTTTTCTAAAATAGTTCCATCAAAGTTCATTCATTTATTTATTCAAGTATTTAAGTGCTGGGAATGTGCTAGGTTCCAGGGGAGGTGGGGAATGAGGGTGTGAAAAAAACTAACGTGTGCTCAAGTGAGAAGAGATTCCTGCTTAAGGAAAGCATCCATAAGAATGCCAGCAAGTCCAGTCAAACACTATGACCTTCTGATTTGTACAGTGCTCGAGGTATCTGGACAGCATGAAGTAGAGGCTCAAATGACCCTATTTACACATGATGATGTCATAAGACACATCACAGAAAAGATGACTTTGGGTTGTCTTTAAAACAATGGTGTGAGAAGCAGGTGGATGGTGGGAGCAGAGCAGAGCAGTGTGAGCCAGACCTAGAAAGGCATAAAAGGGCATGGCATGTCTGGGCAAGGGCAAGTGTTCCCGCGTGTGTGGCTGGAGCTCAGGACGTGAATCGTGTCTAGGTGGGAACTCAATCTAAACCCTGGATGACTCCCAGATTTCTGGCCTATCCCTGTGGAGACAGTGGTATCATTAACGAAGACAGAAAACAGAAGATGTTTTCTTATATGGAATTGCCTTTTCCAAGATTTACCTCATTAGATGTACATGTACACACTCTTTATTCCTGCTGCTGAAGCCAATTCTGGTCAAGGCTATTCTGGCACTTTGCTCATATTCTTAGCATTTCCAGAATATGTCCCCCACAAGAGTATAAACTCTCCTCTGCCCCTTTCCTTCCCTTAGATTCATACGTGTTGAGTTGTTCTCTTTTACGTTAACCAGGTCACCCATTTGTTACAATGCCACCAATAGGATGAATTTCATCATCAGAAAAAATAGTTTTAAATAAGCAAACGATGCACAATGGAAGAATATTTCTGTGGCTGTTTCAGTTAAACCTGAATAGTTATATAGAATACTTATTAAAAAAATTAAAGGAACTTACCCAGTTGTTTTACACTCACTGCATATAGCCTCAAGCCCTCATCCAAGGACTCATTATTTTTTAAGAGCTTCTGTTGAATGTCTTTTCCTTCTAAATTGGGATTGTTGGTAGCATTGTAAACTAGAAGGGCCCAAATCACCAACCTAGAAAAACATTTCAGATGTAATTGTTGGAATTGTTGGTAGATTTTTTTTGGGGGGGGGCGGGGGGGTGTGGAATAACAGTATATTTGGATATGGTAGTAAGAGGGATGACCATGGAGTGTGGAGACTCAACAGGCCATGACACTCAAAAACTCCTATTACTGGATAAATTAGAATGTTAAAAATATCTACATATGAATAGATTACATTGATTATTGCATGTATAATTCTATTATATCATATCATATAACCTCATTTCTTTTGAGAAATGTTTTAAGTAATATTTATAGTGTACATGCAAGAAAGGGCCACACTTATGACTAATTATACATTGTTTCTTTATAGCCAATAATAAAGTTTTTTAGAAAAGTTAAATTCCAACAAATATGATTAAAATGATCATTTGACTTTAAGGGTATTACCATTTACAAATATGTTCCAATTTCTCCCGAACTGTAATAATGATTTTCCATCTTGATGAAGCATTTGCCAAGTATGTTATATGGTGAAAAGTTATAAAATAAATACTTAAAATATACATGATGATTGGCCAGCATCCTGCAGAAGTCTACAGACTGTCTGACCTTGAACGTCTTTAAAAAGAAAATATTTCTAAGAGAAGCAGAGATGCATCCTAAAAGCCCCATAAAAACCTTTGGTTCTACATTTCAAAGTAATGTAATTTTCTGTTCAACTGTAATCATAGCCATAGTCAATAGCAGAAATCAAAACATGCCGAAGTCAAGGTGGTAGCAATGCTTTTGAAATAAGTATTCCCAGGAGAGAGGCATGGCATATCTAAGTTATAAAATTATGTGGGTATCAATAAAAATGAAATAGAGTACTGATATATTTGTGGTGCTAAAAAAAGAAAGATTCCTTGAAATTATGCTATTCAAGGTCAGGTGAAATTAAAGAAGAGTTCTATTTTTTCTCCCTAAATATCTGCTCATCTCAAGGGCAAAGTGCTGAACTGTTCTCATAATTCAGTCTGAAAAGCTATTTATCTCTAAAATGATCTACTGCTTAGTGTTCATATATAAGTCATATTTCAGGATGAGCAAGACAAACAGATATAAATATAATGGTGAACTGTCATCACTTAATAATTTTTTAAATGGCTTATAAAAAAAGTATCCTATGATTAAATTATTGTTGGAAGATAAGCTTTGCCACTCTAGTTACTGACAGCTTAGAGTTGGGAACATGACCTTTTACTTCTGTTGAATATTGAGAACATAATGAACACAATGTATCGGGATGATACTGAATACCCAAATTCAGCAATTCAAGAATGACCATGCATTTTCACAGGCCTTATCTCTGTATTTTCCTCTCTCATCCTGAAAACTGAAACTGTTTCATGGTTCCACAAAGTTCCATCAGTTGTTACCATCAATCACCCTTTATTTGAATAAACCAGTCTCTGCGGCTTTGGTTTCCTGTCTGGGCGATAGAGGAGGATAGCATTATCTGAGGTTATGGTCTGTGTTAAGTGTTACAATCAAATTGAAAGGAAAACTTTGGGGGAAAAAAGTGTGTGTAAAACTAGTAGATTGTGGTTTTGAGAAAACACTATGAGAGACTAAAAATTTATCAATGAACATAAGAGAAGTAGAGAGTAGGAAAAAAAAAAGAGGGGAGAATGTCTGTAAGAATACATTGTAAATAACTTTAAAATGATTAAAAAATTTTTTTCAAACAATAAGCTTTTAAACAGTTTCAAAAAATTGTGGAACAAAGATTCATACCAAATAAAAACTACACATGTGGACTTTCCCATATATATGGTCTTGGTTCCCTCTCCATATTAATTTTCTGTGAAGCTACCCATTGGTTTGACAGACAACTGAAATTCCATGAATGTCAATGTCTTTCAAGCAAGAGTTTCCGAGGTACTGATGTATGCCAGTGATGGCAGACTTCAGTATTTCTGGGTAGTAGAAGAATCACAGAAGGTACACTAAAAAGGGCAATGCTGACTTCCTACAGAGGATATACCATTGAGGACACCCGCAACTTTGGCTGCCCCAATTGTTAGATAAAGTGTCCAACAAAGGGATCTGTATCATGCATCCATTATTCCAAGCTCAATATGATCTAGCAGCACAGGTTGGAGAAAAAGTTATTTGGCCAAACAGAGAAGTCCAGCCACCATTCAAGAATATAGCATTAACATAATTATTCTGTTCTTTAGATCATAAAGGAAAAGGAACTTTCTTTCCCTAATCGGATGTTTCAAGCCAATCTGTTGAAGGTACACAGAAAAGTCTCAACTGTAATTAAAAAAAATTTGCTTTTTTAATATTAAACAGAAAACAAAAAAAAGTAAGAAGAAATTCTCTGGTTAACTTTCATATGAAATTCTATTTTTGTCTTCTAGTAAGAATACATCACCTTAAAAGAAGTATATTCCATCATTACTGTTGTAAATCTATAAAATCAGTTCAGTCAATTGAAACGGAGTAAGAATTACATGAACTTTTCCTTTTCAACTACTTTTTTTTTTCTTCTTTGGAGATGTAATAGACTACCTGACCACAGCTAAATTTATTTCATTTAGGAGTTAAAGTTGTTTTTAATTATACCACCCTCTGAAGCTGGCCTGTGTATGCGGATTCTGCAAAGTGGACAGATCTGTTAAATTACCTGCCTGGTCTTGATACGAATTTTAAAATGAAAACTTCTGAAAAGTAGCTATTACCCATATTATTAGATGCTACCATACATAAGCTTTAACTATCTTTTTTTCTTTGATGGTCTTTTTGAAATTTCAAATAAGATGTAATGGGTTATCATAAACTAGCTAGAAATACTAAATATAAAAACTCAGACATTTTAAGTGTTCTACTTCTGAATTATTTTTCATCAGATGTACATTTCTACCCACTCTATTATTTGATGGTTTTGACTACAAGAAAAAAAAAAAACCAGTGTGTATTAGTGCTAAAGAAATAAAAGTGCTACTTGATTAAAATGTTTCCCTCCTATTTCATTATTCTCATTTCTCTACCAGACAGTCAAAACAGGTGAGAGAAAGGATGTTACACTTTCTGTTAAGACTTTGTCAGTGTTACCTTGGATCATTTCCAATGCTTCTCTTGACTTTAATCTTGTCCTCTCCAGTGCTCAGGTGAAAACTATAAATACAAATATGTACATTCATTATCAACCTCATCTGCCACATCATCAACAACACAATTTGAGGAGGTGAAAGAAAGAAGCAAAATGAACATTCTAGGCCACTATTTCCAAATATGTGTCCTGAAAGTATAGTTCTTTCACATGTCGGAGAACAAATGGCTCCATGGTCAAGTAAGTTTGGCAGCCGTGTGCCAAGATTTTAAGATTTACAACACATGTTAGTATACTAAAGAATATGAGATGTTCGGATATCTAGAGATGCACTCAGCTTAAGAATGTACTTCCGGGCTAATTCAACATGTGATCCTTCTTCTGTGTTAACAACATTTGTCGGGTTCACAGAATACACATCTAGGTTTCATGAAACATACTTTTGAAAACTAAGAATAAAACTATGGAAACAAGGTGCAGAGGAGGATATGTGGATTATACTATTTCCTAGGCAGTTATAGTATTTAAATATAATAGTAAAAGATATTTTTGAAAAGCTAGGTGCAGACTATAGATATCTCATCTAACAGAAAAACAGTCTCCAAATTGGGGTGCTACAGATGGTCCACTGGGGTGTGAGATGAAACCAACAGGACTTCTATGTATATGTGATTATCTTCTTTTAATTGATAGTATATTATAACATATACTGGCTAAGTAATGCACACACACAAATTTATTTAAAATTGCAAACATATTTTGGGAATACATACTAATTTTTTTTAAAGGTTGGGATCCATGATCAAAAAATTAAAACCAATTGCTACAGCCCTAAAGATTTTTGTGCACAGAAATCACAAAATATAGAGTTGTTTTAGAAAGATTATAAATATGGTGCATGTGTGTATGTGTGTACTTGTGCTGTGTGTGGGGGGTATAACCAGAGAGAGAGAGCATAGCGTTAAATGAGACTTTTTATTTACTTAAATAAATAAGTAAATTACTTTTTATTTCTTAAATAATTAATTCTGTCATTACCTGATATTGACCACGTAAACAGTGTAGTTCCAATTTTGGAAGGTTAAATTGAGCTGAAAAATACAATGGGAAAGAGTGAGCTTTGATAATACTTTCTAAAAAAAAAAAAAAATCTGAATCGAGTTTCTTCCCTCCCAAAAGATAAGCTGTTATTGGAATAATGCCCTGGGAAAATCCCAGAGAGCCAGAGTGAAAGAAAGGTGAAGATAACAGTTACCGGATCATTATATGCCAAGAACTTTGCAAAGGTTATTTCTTCGATCTCACAACAACTAATGAGATAGGTATTATCTACTCCTTCACCCTTATTTGTGAAGAAACTGAGCCTCATGGAGAGAAATAGCTTGCCCAATGTCCTCAACTAAGAGGTAGCAGATCCCAGACTGAATCCCAAGTCTGTCTGGAAACAGTATACTTTCCTCTCTAGCCTGTATTATAATGGGCTCCACTATAATGGTTCTTCAAATTAGCCCACAGACTGAACGCTACACAGTTGTAAGAGGGTACATAGGAGGATTAGCACAATAAACACCTTCGTATTCCTCATTCAACAAACACTGTAGCAGTAACACATCTTTTTCTAGTAACTATCATCTCATAAGGATATTAGTAAGAATAATTACAAATTAACAATACAAACCTTTTAAAAAAACAAAATGAGTTCAATATTATTGGGAACTATGTTTATTATTGTGTGGCTATTTAACAGCCTCATGGGTCTGAGCATCAGACTTTTTAGAGAAGGAACAGATTCTTCTCAGTATAACTAACAATTACATTGTCCAATACAATCACAAATGGGATTTCTTTACTGATATGAGATCTTCCTATTTGTGTATCACTTCCAGAGGGATTTTTAGGAAAGCTGCTCTCCATTTAGAAATGATACTTATATCCTAGTGTTTCAATTCGTTACTGGCTTTAATATGCCAGTCCAAAAAGTCAACAGCAGCATTTGTCATTATTAGACAATTTCACTCCTCCCCTCAAGTTTGTAACAGAATTTTTAATTACATACTATTGTTTCCTGTAGTCAACTTGTTTTAAAGCATATTCAAAATAAGGCTTTTCTTATGATGGACTCTTCAAAATAAGACTGTTTTGTCATATCAGTTATTCTTTAGATAGATAGATAGACAGATGATAAATAGATGATAGATAGATGATTGACAGACAGATTAGACAGTCACCACTACCTCTCAACGTATTTAGCCTTGTTTTGCTATGAACGGCATATTTGCCAGGCTTCAGCATAAAAAAACCCATTTTTCTTCAAAATGTATACTCGAGTGACTTCAATCACAAAAACTGTGTGAACTGTAGTAGTGCTGTATATAAAGCAGTACAAAGTCCCACTGTATACTATAGATAGAAAATAAAATAGAAAAAATAGAAGCCTATGGAAAACAAAATTTTTGTTTTGGAGATGAAAATTAAAAAACGATAGGTGGTATCTATAAGGAAAATAAAATAAAATGCTGATTTTTTTAAATTGGAAATTACCAAAATTTTCATTAATACAATACTGATTAAATAAATTAGCATAACCTAAATCTCCCTCAACAGAAGACTTAAGGGGTGCCTGGGTGGCTCAGTCGGTTGAGTCTCTGACTTCAGCTCAGGTCATGATCTCACGGTTTGTGAGTTCGAGCCCTGCATGGGGCTCTGTGCTGACAGCTCAGGGCCTGGAGCCTGCTTCAGATTCTGTGTCTCCCTCTCTCTCTGCTCCTCCCCTGCTCACACTCTGTCTCTCTCTCTCAAAAATAAAGATAGATTAAAAAAAACAAAAACAAAAACAGAAGACTTAAATGACCAGACAGTCACATAATGGAATACTATGCACCTTTAAAAAAGAATAAAAAGAAAACTTAGATAAGGAAGGTCTCTGTGTACTTTGATGGAAACCTGGCAATTACAAAAATAAGTACAATGATATGTAAGATATGCTCTTAGTGAAAAACAGGAGGAAAAATACAAATCTACAGTCCTTTTAAAAAATGTTTATTTATTTTTAAGAAAGGGGGGGAGGGGCAGAGAGAGAGAGGGGAAACAGAGGATCCAAAGCAGGCTCTGCTGTGCTATCAGCACAGAGACTGATACAGGGCTCGAATTCATGAACTATGAGATCATGACCTGAGCCAAAGTCGGACAGTTAACCAACTGAGCCACCCAGATACCCCAAGAATATATAGCCTTGTTTTCTTTTATATGCACAAAGAAATTCAGGGCGGGGGAACAAACAAGAAAAACTAACAATGACTTCTAAGCAGATGGGTTGGTCTCCAGGGAGATGAGCTACAAAGATGGTCAGAATACTTTCACGATATATTTTGTTATACTTTTTGGTTTATGAATCAAACATTCAAACAATTAAATAAAAAATATAGAATCTACTTTTTAAAGCTATGCTGAAAATGTAGGGATATAATAGTAAATAAAGATAACTATCAAAATATATTTCTATTTGTGTGGTACTTTCCTTATTTAGACATTAATCATCTATGAGGCTTGTCCTTGATTCAAATGTCACTCCCTCACTATGCATCAGCATACACCTTACTACTATGTCTATTCATAGTAAGTATAAGGAAGAGTGTCTGCGTTTCAGTATGATCTACGGACTCAATAACCCAGACAGTAGATTCCTTTGCAGGTTTCCAGAGGTTAAAGGCTTCAAATCACAAAAGAAATTATATAAGTTCACTTACCCATTCTGCCACCTTGTTCTGTACTTTAACCTCAGGGTGATGAAGGATGTTTTGAATCACTATGGAAATTCTAAAGATAATTCCATCTGTCCATTGGAAATACGATTTAGTCGTTAATTATCTTTTATAGTCCTACAATTATCAATTTAAATATACAATCACACAACCTCACACAGTGTAAAGAAATGACTTCTGTTGGATAAACAGGCTTCTAGTTACGGAATAAGTCACAGTAATAAAAGGTACAGTATAGAAAATACCATCAATAGTATTGTAATAGTGTTGTGTGTTGATAGATGGTAGCTACACTTTCAGTGAGCACAGCATCACACACAGACTTGTGGAATACCTGAAACTAACTAACATTGTGTGTCAACTACACTTCGATTAAGAAAAAACTAAAAAATAAAAAAAAAAACACTTTCTACACAGGTACAGAAAAGTTGAGATATTTTGACTTAATGCTCATTGACCTTTGCAACTGCTTAGCAAGAGTTATCAATTAGTTTATTCTGAGAAATAACCCATTTCTCCTACATTATCACCTATATATGTTTCTTTAATTCTATAGATTTTGGATATTTACTCTAATTTTTTCATGACTTTCTCATGTACAATTTGATCTCATGTAATAAGAAATTATCATTTTTTTTGTACCTTATAAAGAATGACAGGGTTTGGGGGGTGAAAACTTAAGTGGGATGATGGGCAGAAGTTAGCTTGAAAAAGAACAGATACACATATTTGTTGCCCTCTGCTCCTTATTCTCCACCCCCCCCCACAGCGTTTACTTCTAAGTCATTCACCAGATTTTTCATCAAAATTCCATAAATATAGTCGCTTGTATCAAAATAAAGGGGGGAGGGAAGAAAGAATATTTGCAGATAGAATTTTAACTGGACTAAGTTGCTTTAAAAAGAAAACTTTATGTGAGAAGAAGGTTCTGCTTTTTTCTTTTGGGGATCTTTAAAGTAGTCTGATGTATTTTTTTTTGTAAATGCAAATCAAGGTCACCACCCAAGGTTTGCTGAATCTCTCTAGATGTGTGTTATAGGATACCTTACTATAAATAGCTAATGAAAAAAATATCATTTTAAAATATGTTAGGTTATATATAGAAACGAATTGATTCTCCATTATTTTGTCAATCATCTTTCTTCATGCTTATATTTTGGTAAGTCTTCAGGAAAGTATGCATAGAAAATGTAGAAAGTATATAATTTAAATACTGTTGGGGAATAGATTTAATGAAAAATTTGGAAAGTCAGTAGAAAATACATAAAACTCTGCCTCTGGAAATCCCCATATCTACCAAAATGCAAATTCCAGTCCCACTACCAAAGGAATGTTTTTCCAGTATGGGGTCAGAATCTCATACTAAAACTTTTGCCGCTCCCAGAGGTAATAGTCTAAATACATGAAATTGGTACAAGTCCAAGGACAAGTGGGTTTAACTTATGCAGACTAGGTTATTTCAGCTTCTAAAACTCTTCAGGTATTTTAATGAAGTTGATTTTATGTTCCTCTAAAAATATTCTGAATTTAAAATACTTAGAGGAATATATTCAAAACAAATGATAATAATTCAGATTAACAAAACCCATTCAGACTGTATGTCTCATCATATAAAATTATGGATATTCTGAAAGAAGAAATTCAAATTGCAGAGGTCCCAGAGTTATTCCAGGATCCTAAGGACAATTCTGGGAATGTTCACTTGTGCCAGCAGAGTAGCTGAAAAGCCACCACTAGATGGAGACGTAAAGCATGTGTTTAAGACCAGTATTCTTTCCCTCTCAGGAAAATATTGCAAAATACTAAAAATCATTATTTTTAATCACTGAGATTTCTGAAACGTTTTGGAAACATTTAAGATGTTTTTATTTAAATTTTAGATATCTGCTGCCTCATTTTTCAATTTGCTGTTATTTATAAAGGAGAAAGACCTCCAATATCAGAGATAATCTAAATGAATTTATAAATATAGTACTCTCCCTAGAGTTATATTGCTTACAGCAAATAAAATATGTGAACACAGAAAACAACCTAACATCTTGTGTTACAGATTCTCCTGTGTTATAGATCACTTTCAAAGTCATTTCTTTTTAGAAGCCTTGGAATGAAGTATCCATATACTCAAGGGAGTCTACTTGTTAAACTTACTTAAAATTGCTGAATAACACAGTCAACAACTAAACATGAGAAATGCCCAGGAGTGGACTGTCAACACTAGATAAAATGTCCACCAAAGAACTGGTAAGAAGGGTTTTGGTTTGCAGCAAAATAATTGGCTTAAGCATTGCCATTGCAGAAAATACACAATTAAGACACACTAAGGCAGGCTTTCCCATGTCATTCTAGAGGTCAAGTGGTCCTCTATAGATGTAACAACGCTCACAGTGTCTCATTAGAAAAGCTTATTACAAATTTTCATATATTCCAGAGACTTCAAAAGCTGTATGTATTATCCTACTAATGGCATCCAAGCCAGAAGAATTCATGATAGACATTTCTTGGGGGGGAAAAAGTATTTAAGAGTATATCCATTTTCCAATTAGATAACTCTTTCATCCATGCAGGACTTCAAAGCAGAAATCATTGCTTATCATTACAGACGTGGCATCAAAATGGTATTGCTGTCTATAGGTCTTTCTCCAATTAATCATTTTTTTGGTCCTTAACACCCTTTTCAGAGTTTCTTAAAAGATATAGAAACGAGACTACTTTATTCTATATTGAAGGGTGTGAAATAAAGGTTTGAAAGGCAGATTTTAAAATATTTATTTGAAAAGACAGATGTTAAAATATAAACCAAATGTTATTTTAGAGTCAAAATGATGTCTTTGGACCAGTGATGAGGCAATTATAACACATAAGTAGCATTTATAAGAAGACTCGAGTCCTGCTCATCCTATACACACGATTTCTTTAGATAACAAGAATGTAAAGCTAGAATGATTGTCTGGTCCATACATACACCCAGAGAGTAAATTTATGTTAAGAAACTGGAAGCAGTGGTACAATGAATACTTGTAAGCTAGGTTTTTTTGGACAATAATAAGGACTAACAGAGTTAGTTCCTTGCTTGGGTTACTTGTGTTGACCCCACAAAATTTAATATCCAGGGGCACTGGAGTGATGCTTCAAGCACAGAAAATAATATTTGGTATGCAAATAATAACTGACTCAAGAGCTTTCCTTAAGAATGTAATGTAAAAGGCACAAAAAAATTATTTGTGGGAATACCTCGGTTATCCGTTACAGACTGAAATATCTGTTTATGAAAAGTAACTTAAAGATTTTCCTAGTATACAATCTGAGGTATCAAAGTCCTATTGAAAATAACAAAAGGAAGTTTACATAGGAACATTTCACAAAGTCTAGGAAAACGCATTTCATCGATACACTGAAGAAGTCTGTCTGTCAATCTCGATCCCTGCCCACCCCCTATACCAGCGTATCATCATTGGTAGACTCAGCAAAACTCTTCGATAGTCTGGAGTTTAAAGGATTGGGTACGATAGATAGATGACAAATTTGATAGCTGTACCTATCTTTCTTACAGTCAATAAAATAGGATTCTCTAATATGTCAGATCATGATAAGCCTGAGAATGTTTACTGTATCCATTTCCCGAGGAATAAGAGAAGTGTATCTGGAGTTGCTGACAGTATGTGAATGATTTAGACATGACCTTAAGTTCCATTTATTCACAAGGTGAACAAGTAATTCTCTTTCCAATTATTTCTAACTTGACCACATCAAAGAAAAAATATTAATTAGATTACAGTCTGCCTCTAACACTTTGTTACTCTCCCTTTTTAAAAAGATAGTGAAGGCGTAGTGAAGGTGTAGAGATACAAGAAAACAATAGGAGATGGAGAGAATTTAATAATATTGTTTTCATTATATTCATTTTCATTTTTCATTTCTATTTTACAACAGTGTTACAACAGCAATATCAATTTTCCCAAATAAACACAAATGCTTAAGTAAAAATGTGAGTCGATTTAGGAACAAAACCTATTCAATCAATTGTATAGGTGGCTAAATATATGGTAAAAATTGTTCAGATGGTACACAGATTGGAGGACGTGATTTTGAGAATATTTCTACCACATGATGACTTTTGAATATTTTTAAATGCTAGGACTGCATTTTTTATCCAGAATCATCTAAATTAGGTTTTTCCCTCTAATGTAGTCAAGTCAAACCATTTTAACTGATTCTAACATTTGCTCGCTTTGTTGAAACCCCATTGAAGGTTATGACGCAGAGAGAGACGGCTGAACAAGGCTCTCTTCAAGAATGTCAGAAATGACATGACTGAGTGAATACAGCTCCACTCTACCAAAGTCAAGGACTCTGAAGCATCATATAAACGTTCTTGGGCAGTAGAGGACGTGCCAGTCCTGGAGGGAGAATGCCACAGAGGCTCTTTGTATGTTCGTACAAAGAGCGAAATACTTAGTTAGAATTATAATATTCCCATCTACTGGCTGGAGTCCATGTGAAATATGCACTGGAAACTTCAGCTGTTGCTGCTTTTTCCTGGGGGTTGCTGGAATGTCTGCCCCATCATAAATCTCCTTGGTGTAACTACCAGAATAACCATAAACACTTCCCTGAATCGATGTCTTTATAACTGTAGTGAAATTTAGATCTATGTTTCATGTAAAATATTCCATACTTCCAATTTAAATGTCCTTACAGAGGAAGTTGGTATAACCCCCGAAGCCAAAGAAAAAATGAACTATGTGGGTTTCTTTTCTCTGGGTTTTTGTCCTTGGTGATATACTGCAGATGTTTTGGCCTCACAAGTGAAATGATTGGGGTTGAGAAAATTCCTTTGTTTCTAATAGCTCATATTTGAGAATATTACTGTATTCAAGGCAATGCTGTGGTCACCTGATTGGAATTTCTCTTTTCTAGAAGAAACTTAAATTATTTACTCCGAATTACCAAAAGGCTATGTGGTCCATATAGGTAGCAGACTAAATAATAATTCAAGTTACCTGGCATTTTCCCTGCTCGTATCTTATGTCCTATTAACTGCCATATTTGCAAATTACAAATAATATATATAGTGAAGTATACATGGAAAAAAGTCAAGAAGTATTGGCACTTAACTGAAATTTTGTCAGCCAAAAATGGACTGAGTTGATACGCAATCACATTCTAACCATTATTCTTCAACAAATAAAAACAGACAGCAACGTATTACCATATAAATTGATCTAAATGTCACCAACGCTTAAACATAAAAGTCGATTTCAGTGAGAAATTACATCACCAACATTAGTTTTTTTGAAATCATAAAGTTCCTTAAAAAACTGGTTTCGTGAAGGGAATAGTCTGACAAAATACCATGAATATTTTTTCAGATATTTCATATAAAGCAAATTAATTCCTTTTAATTAAGTGCCTTTCTCTTAGAGCTTCCTTTGAAAGCAATGTTAGCGAAAAGTGCATGAGAGTAGTACTGGAAATGTGGTCATTCCACGGGTCACTAGGAAAAGGAACTCAAGGGATTCAAGGGACATCGATTTATTTTACTAACCTTACAAATGTACAAATGTTCCCAATTATTCCACAAACAGAAATTTTGCTTGACGCTTAGGTATCCCCACTCTTAGAATACAATTTGTTATCACATCAGACATACTACAAATATAAAAGGTAGTGATTTCTTACCATTCCTTTGTTTATCGATTCTATTAGTAACAGGCATGTTAGTGGTGACAGTGGGTGGTGTAGTACTAGGAGAGTCTACAGTAGCTGGTAATAAAGATGAGAGAGATGTAATTTTGCAAGGAGCAATGACAGTTAATATGGATGAGCACTCTATAATTAATGCTTGAAAATATATAGAGGAGGAATAGGAACCATTTCTTGCTACTAACTACAACAGACTCTAGGGTTATAATGCGTAAAATGAAGCAATGCTTCCTATGGCACATTAAGAATCACTTCATATGGCCTTTGGTATTAGAATGCACAGGAGTCTGGAGTTGGCACAAAGGAACAGGAGAAAGAACGTCGAGGTTCTAGACCCAGGTCTGCCATTAACAGGTTAATGACCACGTAGTGGTTTACTAATTCAATCTTTCTAGAACTCGATTTCCTAAGTTTGTATTAAAAAAAAAAAAAGAAAAGAAAAGAAAAAAAGGTCGCAGAAGGCAGTCTGTACCTCACCTGTCAGCTTTCTAAACTAAGTTACTCTTCCTGATATGCTGAGGCTAGAGAACTAAAGTCTCAGAAGAAAATGTATATCTCCTTGAGAAGATAAATGTAAACAAAACAAAGAGAATGAAATGTATAGACTATATGGAATATAATGTATAGAATCAACCATTTACAGATCTCAGTAACTCTACTAAACATTGACAGATAAAATGAATTTCATAAGGACAAGCCTTACAGGGAGGCCATTTTCAAGGAATTATGTCATAGCTATGCTTTTTATACTATTAAAACTTCCAAGATTAAACCTTTATGTAGTGCTTTAATAGCTTTCTAAGAGACTCAAAGAGTTATATATGTAGTAAAATAATATTAGTTTGTCTTAGGAGTATGCTTGTATTAGATGTACATTTGTATGTACAATGACCATTTCTTATATATCTCAATTTACAATTACTTAAATTTAAAAACGTTTAAGTGATTATGACTACCTTCTGAAAGCTAAATTCTTTGACTCAAAATATACATCCTTAACTAAAATGATTTTCCATTTCAAAATAATAAATAATGCTTAAGAATTTATTTTTTAAAATAATGGACAATCAACTATATTTATCGTAGTGCAAAATACATCAATGAATATGAAAATGCTTTTTGGTCACTTAGGACACGAGGGGGAAAATGCTGGGCTTTCCTGCCCAGCATCAAAGACTCAGGAATCAGTTCGATAGACATCTCAGATTAAAAGAATAAAATTTTAAACCCTTCAGATCTTGAACTAAGCACAATTAATGTTTCTTTCTATTTTATATAACTATTTTAAAACTATGCTGATTGTGGACACCACATAATGACTTTATTTTTATAGGTCGTTCAAATGACTTTATTTTTCTAGGTTATTCATCAGTAATGATATCAAGAGATAATGTATCAGAAAAGAAGCAAAGCTAATACTGAATTACATCTACCCCTACACTAGAAGCACAGAAGAGAGCTGAGGTTTTGATCCACTTCGAAGCCCTTCTATAACCCCTTCTATAATCGGAGAATCATTCTCCGATTCTCTTAATAAGAGATCCAGCTTTTTCAAAGGCACTGTCATGATTCTTAATGTGGTACATAGAACATGCTACGTCATAAAGAAATATTTAATAGAACAAATGGATGAAATGGGTCATGAGTAATTAGGAGGAGCAATGATAAAATTAAAGCAAAATATTTATATTATTATCTCAAAACTTACATGACTTTTATATATTATTAGCATGCAACTATCTAATAATAATATATAATTGGAATACTGGCCATAATATAGTCAATGTGAATTATAATAATAAAATTACATTAATATTAGTTTAATATAAGTATTTTCATCTTAATATTTAAGTTATATTATACACCATAAATTGCCTTATAATCTTGTCATAAGCTTAACTGAATATTTAACTTAATTATCCCCTTCTTTGTCGCACATGAATACTTTTTTCAAAATAGTGCATGACTATATTTATACCGGACCTTTGCAATAATCTTGAAAATAAAAAGAGAAAAAAAATGAAATAAATCCCTGTTTAATAGCATATAATCATTCACATTTAAAAAAACTCATGCTTTATGGAAATATGGTCATCTAGTGTGTGAATGCATTCTTTCTCCACAGTGTATGTACTATGCACCCACACAACTAAGACACAGCCAGAAATTCTTCTGTTTTGCTGGGCTTTGGCTTCTCAAGTGAAAATTAAGATAATAATCAAAATAACTTCAAACACATTACCCAAAATAGCAAGTAGGACACAGAGTCCAGAGGACAACGCTGGCTCCCTACCTTGGCAGAGGGTCCCCAGATCTGCACAGTTGGCTAGTTCTGTGGCCGGGAGTGGGATCAGGTAGGAACCTTGGTCAATACAAAAGGATGACACAAGTTATCTAAATGTCGGATTTAATGGCATTATCCAAGAAAAAAAAATCCATGAATCTTCTGGTTGGCATAATAGGAGCAGACCTAGAAGTGTCCAGCAATAACACTCCAACATCAAGAAAGTCTCTCAATCTTTGGGTCTTCATTTCCACAAATGTAAAATCAAGTTACCAACATTTCCCTCAAAATCTGTAACTCCATTTATTGACACTTCACAGATGAAAGGAAGAGAAGTGCTCTTGCCCATTAGAGTTTGTGTAAAAAGTCCGGGGCCTTTTCATAGAATAGATTTAGAAATTCATATAAATAAAGTAATATAAACATCAAAGGTAAGTTTCAAAAGTGAATTTGGATATTATTAATATTCATAAAATGCATATTTCTGGTTCACAGGCACCAGCGTATGCTATTTGCAATCCCAGAAATATGCTTCTGTGACTTCAAATTGGTCTCTGTGTCTTTTCATTTCAAACTTTTTTTTACTGACACATCCTCAGCAAGAAAGAAGTTTAGAGTTGATTTTCTAGTAAAAGTTCTGGGAACCTGGGTGACATGGCATTACTGGAGTAGAGTAGGAATGATCAGATATATAGGTAACAGATACTTGTGGAGGGCCTTATAGAATGCTGGCCCCATGAACGGTGGGGCTCTGTCTTCCATTGGTGAATCCCACACACCTAGTAGATGGGTACTCAAGCTTTACTAAACAAATTTCTAGATGCATCATCAATGGTTGATAACATTTTGAATTCTTTCTTAAAGGAAACTATGAAAGGAAACTACGTAAGAAAATTAGATTTTAAATTTGAAACTGCCTTTGAGTCTCCATGGACAGGTAAAAGAGAAGATACAATAATAATAAATAATATTAATAATTCAGACTTGAGTACAGTGAGGATGGCAAGAAAGTGATGGATACAAGACATCTGAAGATAGAATGTACAACATTTGGTAACTAATTGGAGGAGAAGGCTAGGGGATAGACTAGGGGACATTTTTCTGGTTTCCAGCTTGAGAAATTGGTACATAATGATCTCATAAAAGGAAAGAGGAAATACTAAAAGAAAACTTAGGTGAGGTGGAATGAACAGTAAGTCCAGTAATGAGAAATGAGGTGCCTGTGTGACATCTGGATACGCAGGCAGGTGTACACATTTTTGTTGGGAGGTCTAGCCAAGAAACTATGCCACAGAATCTACAGACGTGTCTGGGATGACTCAAGCTAGAGTGTAGATTTGATGGAATCATAGACATTCCCATATTTAAGTATCATACTATTTAAAAAGTAAAAGAACTCTAAATTTGAGAAGTAAAACCAGTTCTGGTAGAAGGTAGTTTTACAGAAGTTTCACAGAGGGTGTGGCTGTGTCAAGTATACTAGAAAGGTCAAGAATGATCAAAACCGAGAAGACGTTTAACTTTACATTGGAATTCTGGTAGTAGCTGTACAGGAATTAGTTTCAGTAGCGTGGGAATGAAGAACGAATGACCGCCATTTGAGATGTGAATGCAAAAAGAGGAAGGTTGGCTATGAAAGGAAGCAGAGACAGGGAGGGCGAGTTTGAAAGATCGAAAACTTAGACAAATGGACTATGGAAAAAGGCATCTGAAGAGGCAGAAGTTGAGTCTTGCCTTAGTCAGGATTCAGGTAGGATTTTACCATCAATATTTTCTGTCCACTATTCTTTCTTATCACACTCAACTTCTCCCCCCCTCTTGAAGAGTCTCACTTCTCTGTTAGGCACTTATATTTTAGTGAGGAACTTCTGAAAATTAAAAAACCTTTAAAACTCCAAATTAGAAAATGTCAGCCACTGCAACATAAGAGAGAGAGAGACAGAGAGAGAGAGACCCTTGGATGGAGTTCCTGTGCTGCTCAGATTACGCACAATGCTGGCAGTCAAAGGTTCCTTAGGCCACTTCTGGCACTGATACAGTATCTCTGGAAGACAAAGAAAGATAAGGAGACAGTGCTGTGGGAAAGAAGTTTCTAGGCTAACTACACTTCCACTGCAGTATATTGAAGGACTCAGGGTAGAAATGAGGAAAGAAAATCAGAAGAGTTATGATTTAGAGCAAGATATTTAACAATTTTCTTTAACATTTCCTCAGTTTCACTGTATGATAGCAAGTTCCAATATGTGACATCCTTGTCAGGGAAAAAGTAACATTTCTCAATATTTAAACTGATCAGTTGTCCTTTTTTGGGTACTCACAGTTTAGCAAATTGATACTGTATTATAAAACACTCAATAAACACTGGTTTATGACAATTCACTATGGCAACAGAAATTAAATATGAAGACTAAATAGTGTAAGTACAAGTGACAAATTTAATCAAAAGGAAATTATACTGATAAATGAAAGCTTCCATCACAAATATACTAAATTACATAAACAAATACCTAAAATATAAAAAGGGCACACAAACTCTTTATTCCCACCTGGTTCCATTTTCAGCACATCTGCATAAAAAAAGTTACTCTTGCAATTAATTTTCCTAGGTGGACATATTTATAGGCCAGATTGTTAAGGAAGAGGAACCAATTCTCATTCCTGGATAATGATATAATTAGTATCAAGGAATTATTTTCAAAATGTGACCTATGTGTGTTCACTGATGTTTATGGATACCAGAAAGGTTTTTAAGGGTATTTACTTAATATTAACTGTAACATTTAGAGCCAAATTTCCCTGGGAGGGGGGGAACGTAATCACTGAAAAGCTGCAAAGCTATTAATCTTTCTTCTCTCTCTGTTGTTCTTCCCAAATCCTGCCGCTTTGAAAGGAGTCACTATTTACACAAGTTGTGGTAAAAAAGACTGATGCACACCTAACAGCTCATCTGACATTCTACACAATGATAATCCAAATAACAGTAGCACTAAATCCTCACAGTGAGTTGCAACATTGAGAAAAAAAAAAATTGCTTTCAAGTCCTCTTTGCAGGATTACTAAATAGAATTTTATAAATTTTCATAAATATATTTACAACACATTATTTCTGGAAGCTATTTATGCTCATAAAGAGTTTGGACATCTTCAAAGAATAAAGTCCTTTGTAAAGATAAAGTAATTTCATCTTTATTTTATTATTTAAAAAATAATTCAGTTATCTAAAAATGCTACACTCAGTAATTTTTTTTTTTTTAGAGATGAAAGGAAGGAGCCAACAATGAGTCAGAATTTTATGGCTGTGGAAGACAGAACCGTAATAATTGAAAATGGAAGGGTAGGAATCCAAGAGTTGATGAAGCCTTGATAATTAAGCGCAAAATGCTGGAAGTGAAAAGAAAAATCAGTACCAATCCAAAAATTTCTAGAAAAGAATAACAACCAAGTTGGGTACTTAAGAATTGTGTCTTATCTCTCCATCCACAAGCAGTTAATAAATGGAAGTGGTTAATAAATGCTTATTAACTAAATGTAGTTTGTTTGAACTTGGACTATTCACGGGGTTATACTGTACCACTCCTCAGGAAAGAGCAGTCATCAGTAAAATAAATAAAACTGGTATAGAAGGCACTGTCTGTTCTTTGTGAAAAGTGATGGACATTAGCCAGTATCTAAACTGAATCATAACACAGGCGAATACTTGCCATTATAATTAAAGAGTCCACTAGGAAAACCGTCTATCCATAGAGGTCATAAAACTGAATATGCTTAATAAAATTGTTCTAAGAAAAAGAATGATGCTATAAAATGAAAAAGAATTACTGCTAAATAAAGCATTTCCTTCTGGAAAAGGCTGACAAGATTAACTATGTTAATAATAAAAAAGACCTGCTGAAAATTTCTTAATTAAGGTATAATTCCCCAACGAGGCTAGTGTAGGAAAACAAAAAAAGTATAATTCTGAACTTGTTGAAACATTAATTAATTATACGTTGATTACATGAAGGCTAGGGTATTTACTATTTGAAACAAATGACGGAATGTTTTAATGTTAGATGGAATCAGTTCTATTTTACCATCGTTTTTCACATTATAATTTACTCGGCAATAGACCTTTGGAAAATCTATTCATTCCTCTACCGCAAGTTGATTCTGGAATTAAAGGTCATATTTAACAGATATTGTCAGTCCAATGGAATGTCAGGCATGAAATTCTATTTTCCTATTGGTTACTGTACCGATCATTAGTTTTTGGAAATTAGTTACCATAAAGAGCAAGCCAAAATGTTCCAGAAAAAAAAAAAGAAAGAAAGAAAGGTTAAAATGTTAATAGAGCAAACTTTTTTATGTGTTGAAGTTCTGCATAGCTAACAAGCTTAGATATGATCTCTGTGACAGGTATTTCCTGTCAGTTAATAAGTGACTTGGGTTCTTCAACTCCCAAAGCTGATGACTGAGCAGCGGGAAACTCCCTCTCCCGTTATGACTCCTGAAACACAGCCCAGGATATCTGAATCCATGGAATGGGGTGTTTGCATCATCATGGAATGTCAAGAGGACCACCATAAAAATTAAAGGAATTCAAATACACGGATTCTGTAACTTGTGCTCTTTCAATGAAATCATTTTGAAAACTTACAGATGGCTAAGTTACCCAAGCATGTGTTTGATGCATTCCAGTAATCCTAAGCCTTGGGAAAGGAGTTGTAAAGACAGTGTTGAAGAATATCCATAAATGAATCCTGGGGAAGGGAGAGAGGAGATCTACATTTTAGCTCACCAACTGCCTTGGCCACTTTTTAAAAAAAAAATTCAGTTTCCTGCCTTATATTAAGTGAAGAGACTAGCTTAAGTTGGGATTCCCAAGCAGAAATGCCTACTGGGGCCAGAAGGCCATCTAAAGATGGAAGGGGGTTGGCTTGGAAAAAATACAAAGAATGGTAAGGGTTGAGAAGTCCTCTCCCTCTGTAAGAAGCAGATACCACTTCCCCCCAGCTGTGTTGGCCAGGCACCAATACTAACCCAGGTTTAGTTTCTTGTTTGCCAGAGAATCCAAAAATTTATCTTTATTTCAAGTCTAATTTTTTAATGTTGGTAATAAATCATTGTTTAAAAGCATTATGTGGAACAATTACAAATAAAGGATAACAGGTAAAGGCCACTGCCATCATCAATGTCTGAAAGCTAAATGAGCCCATAAGTGGCTGGTTTAACTACATGTGGCCCAGGAGATCTAGCAGATCTTTTCCAGTGTCATCCCAAGTATGTGCTTCAGAAACTTGGACCCTCATGATTCTTTGGACTAGTGTTAAGGATGGGCAAAGTTTCTCTTAAAGGCCAGACAGAAAAATTTTAGGATGGCGGGCCATGTTTCTGTCTCTCACAATCACCAACTCTGTCACTGTGGCCCAGAGGCAGCCTTAGACAATACAAAACCTCTTAGGCATGGTTGGGTTGCAATAAAACTTTCCTAGTTTGCCAATCTCTGGTCTAGAGGATTTCTTTTTTTTTTTTTTTTTTTTTCAACATTTATTTATTTTTGGGACAGAGGAATAGAGGAGGCATGAATGGGGAGGCAGAGGGGGGGGGGGAGACACAGAATGGAAGCAGGCTCCAGGCTCTGGCCAGCCCCAAAACCCTGGCTGTGGTCGAACTCAGGATTGCTGAGATGGTGACCTGGCGGCTGAAGTCGGACTGACGCTTAACGCCCGGCGGCCCAGCTAACACTTTAAGCGCCCCAAGGTCTAGAGGATTTCTTACAGAAGTTTAGGAATCCATGTATATCCTTCACATTTTATCATCTTCACTATGTACCCAAGGAAAAGAAGCAGCTGAAAATGCTGACCAATTTTGCTTGTGACAAATACTACTGGGAAACCTACATGGAGTGGCTCTCGTCAGTTAAGTTTCTGACTTCGGCTCAGGTCATGAGTCTCCTCACTATTCCAGGTAGGTTCCAGGCCCCACATCCGGGACTTTCTGTGCTTTCTCTCCAGAGCCTGGAGCCACCACTACTCCAGTTCTGTGTGCTACCCTCTCTCTCTGTCCAGCACGCGCTCATACTGTCTCTGCCTCTCAAAAAAAAAAAAAAATGAATAATCTACTAAAAAAAAGCCAAATAAAGCAAATACGGGTGTTAAATCCTCATAGGCCCCAATTCTTTCCACCGATCACACCTGAACCATCATACTCCTCATCCAGGCAAGAAGCAGCTCACCTACTCTAGTGTGGCTCACCTTCTAGTGCTGCATTTTCCAAAAGACGGTCTAATTTACACTTATAAGAGAGCACAGCTCTAAAACCTAACTTTTTGAGTTCACTTCCTGGTGTGGCCACTAATTAATGAAGTAACACTGCATAAATTACTTAATTTCTTTGTGCCTCAGATTTCTCGTCTGCAAAATAGGGTTGGTAATAAAACCCACATCATGGGATCTGTGTTGTAGAAAACAGTTAATACGTGTAAAGACCTTAAAACAGTACCTACTACATAATATGTATTGAGTATTCAAATTAAGTGTATAACTTAAGTATAAGCAATTATTAACATATCTACTCAAAAATTTTTTTTTTGCTTGCCACAGTCCTCAAACATAACCCCATAGAAAGGCAACTATTAAATGGTCTGTATTATGACTTTTTAATGGGCTATGGTGAAAACAGGTCCCTGGAGTAAAGAGAATCACCCTGGATGAAGGAAGAACATCACTGCCCTCTCACTGCTCACCATCTCACACCAAACCCACACACTTGATCTTCTCCATTTCCTCACCGAGTGAAAGACTTCTCAGGAGTCCCTGAACATCCTCTGTAGCTAAGCAGACTGGTGCTGAGGAACACCATTAGCTCCTTTACAAACTTCTTCAGTCTTCTTCTGGAATACGGTTGTGGTTTACCCTCTGTCCAACAACCCACAAGGAGATATCTCTCCAATGACACCACTTAATAGCCTCCCACCATTTGCAGACACACCATGGACCACACAGAGCAATGAGTGACTTACCCTGAGGGTTAGGGGACAAGAATTCCCCAGAGCAGAAGGATACACACCGGTCGCAAACTGGGGAGGTGGTCCCAGATCTTCAAATGGGTCCCACTTTGTTCAAATTATCGGGAATGTATTTCTGGTAAAATCCCCTCCAAAGTCACATGAGAATTTCTTTTTAATATTAGACCCCTTATTCTCCCCCTCCCTTAAAAAAATTTTTTTTTTAATGTTTATTTCTGAGAGAGAGTCAGAGAGACAGAGAGAGACAGAGCATAAGCGGAGGAGGGGCAGACAGGGAGGTAGACACAGAATGCAAAGCAGGCTCCAGGCTCTGAGCTGTCAGCACAGAGCCCGACGCGGGGCTCGAACTCACGGACCTTGAGATCATGATCTGAGCCGAAGTCGGACGCTCACCCGACTGAGCCACCCAGGCGACCCCCACTTCTTTCCTCTTTTAAGGAAAGTTATCTCTGTGACTAAAAAGTATCTATTATCAACAATTTAGTCATATGACATTCAAAAGTGATAATGAAACTTCTACTTTTGTATTTTAATCAGTCTTGTAATAAAATAATGATTTCTAAAATTAACTCATGCACATAAAGAATGTTTGATAGTCTATTTTAATATAATGTTGCTATATAGAATTATTTTCCTAAATATTTTGCATTTAGCTACTTCCAGTAATATCACATTTAAGTCTCTCAAAGAGCAACCATAAAGGGCAACAGATGACAAATAGTCATTTTCAAACAGAAAAAAAGCTCAAAGAAAAAATTGATAATTCCTGATTATCAAAGATTTTTCCATAAAATGGATATCTTTGGTATTTTATCCTGGCTGAGTAAACAGCATTCTTTTAGGTGGTGGTTGTTTATTTAAATAAGGTACTAGAAATGTCATAAAGATCAACTTTTCACGATATCTTTGTGATTAAAAACAATCACTTATTAATTTCTTTTATTTCAGTCCTGGTGTTAACATTTCTATTTGAGGTGTCATAGTTACCACTCTTGTTACATCAGTGATAAACTGTGTGACATTTTATGACATAAGGAAAACTTTAATATGGTAGGACAAAAAACTTTGGTTGAATAAATATGGTTTGTAATCAAATGTATGCTGTGTATGGCTGAGCATACAAAATTTTAGAAATTAAAAAGCTCAGGAGCACCTGGGTGGCTCAGTCAGTTAAGCATCCGACTTCAGCTCAGGTCATGATCTCACAGTCCATACATTCGAGCCCCACGCTGGGCTCTGTACTGACAGCTCAGAGCCTGGAGCCTGCTTTGGATTCTGTGTCTTCCTCTCTCTTTGCCTCTCCCTCATTCATACTCTGTCTCTCAAAAATAAACATTAAAAAAAAAAAAGCTCATTAATGACAACTACCTATATATACATACATATATATATACATATATATATACACATATATATATGTATATATATATATGTATATATATATGTATTTGGTGTGTGTGTGTTTATGTATAATTTCTTGTTGACCAACATCCATAGAACAATGCTTTAAAAAACAAAGTGTGAATATGCCCAGACTTACCACAGCTTAGGTTGCTTTCTGCTTTCAGAGCTAGGGTTGGGATATTCCAGAAGTCATTTTGCCAGTCGACCACATTCCCTTTCACATTACAGCTGAGGTTAGAGAGGATTTTGGAATTCATGGTAAAATTCCAAAGTCGAAAGTTATAAATGTCCCCTTTTAGAGAGGCAATCTCATTGTGACTGGAGCCTAACAGCAATTTCCCATTTCCAGGAATCACTTTATTAATGGTAGAATCGCAGGGAACTGCGTCATAGTTTCTTTTGAAATTTACACCAATAAAGCCCAGAGAATTATTCCAAGTGATGCAGAGCTGCTCAAAGCTTTCTGTGAAAATGTCTTCTTTATCCTTTACAGGTAACACACTGTTTAGGAAGCATTTTGAGCCAGAAATAGAAAGAAAGTAACCACTCTTGGCCTTTCCAAAACCGAGTAGCTGTGTGGAGGACGCATTTGAGTAGGAGAAGGCTGTCCATTCATGGTCTTCCTTGCCAATTTTGGTTGCTTCAAAGCAGAGAGTGAAAGCGCTGAGCTCTGGAATAGAGACACTTTTGGCAACAGATACCTGATAACTGTCTAGTGTCTGCGGTAAAATGACCTTCTGGTTCCTTAAGGACACAGCAACTAGGACAAAGCATAATAACACATAAAATGTATTAACGTCAAATATGAACTAATGAGATGCAAAACATCTGATATGCCCTCCCACCCCCACCACTCTGGATCAACTGACTTTTGCCTCACACCTCCTTCATGACTGTCACAAACCCATTACCTTGTATCAGTAAAACTACATGTAATCCCATCCATATTAACTCTAATCGTTAGAGTATGTGGGATCTCACAGCAAAACTTCTGAGTTATAGCCAACCCAGTTGATAAGTATCTTTTTTTAATCCCTGAACTGAAAAAGAAAATCCCAAAAACCCAAATTCAGGAAACTACTGTTTCAGGAAACCTGTTTATACATTAAAATTTTCAAAAATATATTAGTTTTCAAATAATTTCTAAACGTAATAGCTAATAGTTCTTTTTTTCATTAACAATTGCCTTTTACTCTTCCCAAACCGTCCTCTGCCACCCTCTCCCCTTCAGAGACCCCATATCCTATTCATTTTCCCCATCACCAGGATATTTCAGGAGCAAAGGTAAAGATAATTCTATGAAGAAGAAAAGTAAAAAAGTAAAAATAAAAATGGAATTTTAAGCTATATTTCCTTTACAGCTGGGTATTTGAGTTCCTTTGTGAGGGATGGCAAGGGGCAGAGGTAAAAAGGGCGACACAGCCACCTCCAATCCCAGCTCCTCCACAAAATGCAATGTGACCTTGGACATGTTACTCCACCTCTCTCTACCTTCTTCTCCTCATCCATAAAATGAAGGACGGTGACACCTATTGCACACGTGGTCAATAGGAATCAAATAATACCTGGAAAGCACTAGAACAGTGCCTGCTATAGTCAGCATAGAGCTAGGACTGATTACTAATGTTACTGATTACTAACAATGATTACTATCATCTGCATAATATATTCAAAATAAAATGCGTTAGCCTAGTCCTTCTGTGACACATGTGAAATTATTAAGTAATACAATGGATTTCACCCTATGTTAATATAATAGACACTGTGAAACATGTACTGGTTTGAGACAGAAGTAGCTCTCCTCAAAAATTCTCTTTAATGCTGGCTTCAAGGAATGCTAGATTGAACAGATTTTAAATTTTTTTTTTCTTTTTTCAACGTTTTATTTATTTTTGGGACAGAGAGAGACAGAGCATGAACGGGGGAGGAGCAGAGAGAGAGGGAGACACAGAATCGGAAACAGGCTCCAGGCTCTGAGCCATCAGCCCAGAGCCTGATGCGGGGCTCAAACTCACGGACCGCGAGATCGTGACCTGGCTGAAGTCGGACGCTTAACCGACTGCGCCACCCAGGCGCCCCGATTGAACAGATTTTAATATAGGTCTATGGTAAAGGCATCATTTTCATGAAAATATTCTAGTAAAAACTGCATGATGAAGTTTAATAGAATTGTGGATTTCAGTCTACTTTTTAAATATAAGGCACTTTATAGGTCTATTTACCCAAAGGGATACTTACATAATATGAACCCAGTATACTACATGTATTGTTTAAAGGGCTGGAAAGAAATATGTCCATCAATGTTTTATTAGTAGTTATGGCTAGATGACAGATGTATGGATAATTCTAACTTGCTTCTTTTTTTTTTTCTAATTTCCTGTAGGGTTTTATAATTTTGAAAACATTATTTGAAAAATTAAAGCACATGTTTTCCAATTAACCACACACGCACCTAATGTGAATCACATTTGTGATTGTGACTCACAAACAGTAAATAACTCTACCACCAAAACCCAAGTTTATAATAATGAGGGTCAGTCATTTTCATAATGGTGCCTTTCTTTTTTGTTCTTTCTTTCATACATGATATTTACTTAAGAAGCTAGTCTTGAATCCTGAATTTTCCTTAAGTAAAGAGAGGCTTTAGAGAGACCAAGATTATTCAAATGTTATGATATGCCAGAATCTGGGAAATACATTTGATAGAAATATATTTTTTCCTTTCATTAGAAATTTTTAAGGTGCTGGGAATGCAAGATGGTGTAGCCACTCTGGAAAACAGTATGGAGGTTCCTCAAAAAACTAAAAATAAAACTACCCTATGACCCATCAATTGCACTACTAGGCATTTATCCACGGGGTACAGGTGTGCTGTTTCGAAGGGACACATGCACCCCCATGTTCACAGCAGCACTATCAACAATAGCCAAAGTATGGAAAGAGCCCAAATGTCCATCGATGGATGAATGGATAAAGATGTGGTATTTATATACAATGGAGTATTACTTGGCAATCAAAAAGAATGAAATCTCGCCATTTGCAACTATGTAGATGGAACTGGAGGGTATTATGCTAAGTGAAATTAGTAAGAGAAAAACAAAAATCATATGACTTCATTCATATGAGGACTTCAAGAGACAAAACAGATGAACATAAACAAAGGGAAACAAAAATAATATAAAAATAGGGAGAGGGACAAAACAGAAGAGACTCATAAATATGGAGAACAAACCGAGGGTTGCTGGAGGGGTTGTGGGAGGGGAGATGGGCTAAATGGGTAAGGGGCACTAAGGAATCTACTCCTGAAATCATTGTTGCACTATATGCTAACTAATTTGGATATAAATTTTAAAAAATAAAAAAATAAAACAAGTTAAAAAATAAATAAATAAAAAACAAACATACAAAAAAAAAACAAAACAGAAAATAACAAGTGCTGTCAAGGATGTGAAGACGTTGTAAATTCTGTGCACTGCTGGTGGGAAAGTAAAATGGTGCAGCCACTGCAGTTGGTTCATTAAAAAAAACGGTAAGAGGTTTCCTTAAAAAATTAAGATTACAGTTACCATATAATCTCGAAATTCCATTTCTGGCTATATCCAAAAATACTGAGGAAGAGTCTTGAAGAGATAATTTTTTAATGTTTACTTATTTTTGAGAGAGAGAGAGAGACAGAACGCAAGTAGGGGAGAGGCAGAGAAAGACAGAGAGACAGAGACACAGAACCGAAGCAGGCTCCAGGCTCTGAGCTGTCAGCACACAGCCCAGTGCGGGGCTCGAACTCACAAGTTGTGAGATCATGACCTGAGCCGAAGTCAGAAGCTTAACCAACTAAGCTTTCCAGGTACCCCTTGAAGAGATATTTGTATACCTATGTTCGTAGCAGCTTTACTCACAATAGCCAACAGGTGGAAGCAATCCAAGCATCCCTTAATGGATAAATGTATAAAGATATTGTGGTATGTACATACAAGGGAATATTATTCAGCCCTAGACTGGACAGAAAACTTGACTTATGGTACAACATAGATGAACTTTGAAGACATTATCCTAAGTGACATAATCCAGTCACAAAAAGACAAATACTATATGATTCCCCTTATAGTCTAGGGAATTCAAACTCTTAAGCAGAAAGTATAGTGTTTGTCAAGGGCTGGGGGTGGGGAAAATGGGATGTTGATGTTCTATGGATAGAGTTTCCATTTTGCAAGATGAAAAAGTTCTGTGGCTTTGTTGCACAACAGTATGAATATGCTTACCACTATGGACTTGTGCACCTAAAACTGTTTTACGATAATAAATTTTATGTTATATGTATTTTACCACAATTTAAAAAAAATTAAGCAACTAAAAAAAAAAAGAAAGAAATTTTTAAGGTGTTTTCCTCAGGCTATGTTGTTCATTAGCTTAAGTTATAAATAACTAACTTTAATTTATATGCTAATTTTTTATATTTGTTCCGTAGCATAGTTCCTTAAAAGGGCAGCATCTTAAAAGCCTAAAATAAAATGATTTCTGAATAGGAAAATTTAAATGTTCAGTGATGTTAGAAGTACAGCTTTTAATTATTAGCTGTGGAATATCTACAATATCTTCCAAGCAGCCTTTAAATGCTCTGCATATAAACAATATAAAAGAATTCAGCTCTACTGTAACCAGATTTTGGATCTGGTAACTATATATTGCTAATGAGAATGCTGAAGGATATTAACAGATTCTTGCCCTTAAATTCTAATCCTAATCATTCACATTCACATAAAAGAGCATAACTCTTGTCTTCTGGTCCTGGTGTTTATTGTAGAACATGCTAAATGAAAGCAGAAGGTTGGCGTCGTCTTTGGTTTACATACCTCTGATGTAGCTGGCATTGAAGCCTTTCTTCTGGATGCTAAAGTCACTTGAAAAGGACACATGCATCTCATTCGCACTGGAGTTAAACGATAGGCCTTTGGCAGTTGCTCCGCAAAATTTAGTCTGGCTCTCTCCATTATCAAGGGATAATGAGTCATAAATGCAATTGGGAGCTTCTTCAATGTCGAAATCATTAAACGTTATCTGAATGATATAGCCAGTGGGGGCTCGCAGGGTCCACATGCAAGCCTGGCTGTTAGGATAGTCGTTAGGATAGCACGGAGAAGTAAATGTCCCAGAAGGGTTGGATAGGACGACTCTGCAGTTGGCACAGCCCCACACTGTTGGCCAGACAAAAGAGAAACAGAGACAAGGGTGGGGATTAGAGGCATACAATAAACCAAGAATACCATACACTGGGGACAATCAAATAGTAAACATTTTAAAATACCAAAATATAACCATGAAAAATAAAAGGAGAATGAAGCCATCTCAAGGAGAAAAAGCAAGAAAGGAACAAAAAAGTAAAAGAAAAATACAAAGTTTTAGAGCAATGATTCTTAAACTTGGCAGGGAAGGAGGGTCATATACTCTAAGAATCTGATAAAAGTTACAGGAACTCTTTCTAGTAAAACACATGAAAGCCAGTACATTGTTTTAGGGAGTATATGAGGCCTCAAGAGGCAACAATGGATTTCCCAAAGGTGCACTGGCCCAGGTTAAGAATTTCTACTCTAGAGAGTAATTGAACCAGGGTGGAAGGAGTTATAGAAACGCAAAGGTAGAAGTCAATATTATAACCATAGATATAAGGGAAGATAAATACTTAGGAAATACATGTTTAAAGAGAAAGCTACCAATACAAAATAAACAAGCAAACAAGTTATCTTCAGGCAGATTGTATTTTTTTCTAAAATTCAAATAAATAGCATCACCTTGCATGTGTGGAATATTTATAGTTTTGAAAATACTTTCACTTGTTTCATTTGTTCATTACAGTTGTTACGTATGTACTTGTGTGATTATCTCTTATTCATTCAGTGGATAATAATTGAGTGCCTGTTATATGGCACTAAATACTATAGATTAGTCAATAAGAAAGACAAAGTCTATGCCAGAATGATTCTTACAATTCAGTTTGGGGCCCAAATAAATAATACAAAATAATGACAGAAGGTAATATGAGGTAGGAAGAAAAGTAAAGAAATCACTTATTTCTCAACTATTAGCTCTCCAGGCCATAATCACCAGTTGGAACCAGAAACCAAGGTCTCCTGTCTTTCTATCTAGTCATGCTTTTGCAATTAATATTCACGTTTCTTTCTACAGTTGTATAAATGTAGGTGGTAATTTCATGTATTCAACATTCTGGATAAATAAAGTGCCATAAAACTGACATTTACACTTTCAAACAGTAAAATACTTTGGCCATGTTAATGGAAATCACTCTAAATGTATTGTACTCCTCCCTCTTTTGCTGGGTTGAATAAAATATGCAATAACTTTTCTTGAACATGGTAGTTACTACAAATACTGCTTATTCTTCCATGATTCAGTGAAAGAAACAAGGACTTATCAGATACACTACACTGCTCAAGTTAGGTTTTTCTTTTTTCTTTCCCCTGTGGCCACCTTGTGTTATGTGCTGTATCCTTGACAACTCTGTTCCCCATCAATTCTTTCTAACTTGCCCTCCCTCTGCTTTTCCTCCCTGGGTCTCCATTGTCTTGTACCGGGCTGAAGACAGAGGAAAACAATTTATGATCACTAAGTGTTGGCCAAATGCCTTCTCTCTTCCATCCTTGAGCCACCACATTTGTCTCCTTTGTAGCTTTAATCAGAGCAGTGTATTACTTCCACTTGTGACATTATTTGCTTCTTGTCGGCTTCTCTGAGCCCAACAAGCAGAGTATGTACTGTTATACTCACTATCTTACTCCTCAGGACCTCACAGCATCCCTGGTGCATGGAAGACTTTAACATAACATAACATAACAAATTTAACATAAATTTGTTAAATTTATGAACAAATAAATGAATAACTTAAATCAATGGAAACATGTCTCAATTAAAGAAGGATGAAGTACGGTATAAGCCAAACAAAGTCTAAGTCAGAAAAAGACAGCGTGCATGAACTCTGGAATATCTCTTTGGATGGGGCTTTAGGGCTCTTTCTTCCAGTTATTTCACTCATAGTATAGGACTGAGAACACTGGGCCTGACACTTTAGCTTCCTGTAACTGTACCTTGGGCTCAAGAGAGAGAAATAATCCTAATAGATTAACAGGAATGTATCCAGTAAAAGGCACTGAAGATTAAAAAAGAAAAAGAGAAAATAAGATACGATCTCTGTGTCATCTCAACATGCATGAAACAACAGCATTTTTCCAAAATAAAATGCTATCCACTACATCCAAAACCCAACTACTGTTCATGAATTCCTTTAGCCTGATGTGCATATTTTCGGTCAAATTCTTCTCTAAGAGCTGAATGAAAGGTATAGGAAAGTTCAATCTGTCCACATGGATGCTGTAATCTCAAACAATTAATCTCCTCAGTTTCACTATCTTCACACAACAATAAAAGCCCTATCTCCCAAGGTTATTGAGAGGATTAGATAGGTTAATGCAAGGTCCTTGGAGCCACACAGTTAGCACTATATAAATGTTAACTATTATTAATCATTACTATAACACAGAATCTGTGCATCAATAATTTAAGAGAGGAAAAAAAACCCAGCACTCCACTTTAATAGAATCTCTTTTTCCCTTAGGCCCTCTTTAGGAGAAAAAGAGAAAGGGAAGACGCCCATAATATCTATTAAAAAAAAAAAAACATTTACAGCATTCTTCCGTATGATTTTCATCTATAGTTGCAAGATAGCATTTAGAGATGGTGCTACTAAATAGAGATTATTTTAGCTGGATGAAAAATCGGTTAAACTAGGTATAGTATCATCATGTTAATCATACTTATAGATAACTTCACGGTAAAGGGCTTTCACATATACTATCTGACATCATGACAACCCTGGGAATTAATACCACCTCTATCTTCAGATGAAACAAATAAGGCTGATACAGATTATGTAGCTTGCTCAGAGTGACACATCTAATTGACAAGAGGATCAAGATTCAAACCAGCTCTTCTGAATGTAAGCCTAGTGTTTTCCTAGGGAAAAAAAAAGTTTCCACAACTAAACAAAAGACAGCAAAGTGGTGGGCTCAAATACTCTTTTAAGAGACAATGTTTTCTAATGGGCAATTTCTTAAACATAGTGTAATCACCCTGATATCAATATATTTTAAGAAACTAATTTTGAAATATTTTAGTAAAGAATACTAGGTAGTCTAAAATATGGTGATTTGAATTTGCCCATTTAGAGCAATCATATGTCACAATTAATTGATTCCTATACAATGAACTAGTTCATTGAGAAATTAATTTGTTCTCTCTCGGGATGCCTGGGTGACTCAGTCAGTTAAGCATCTGACTCTTGATTTCAGCACAGATCATGATTCATGGTTCATGGGATCGAGCCCAGCAATGGGCTCTGTGCTGACAGTGCTGAGCGGGTGTGGGATTTTGTCTCTCACCCTTTCTCTGCCCCTCCCCTGCCCATGCTTGCACGCTCTCTCCCTCTCTCTCTCTCTCAAAATGAATAAACATTTTTTTTTAAAGAAATTAATTCGTTCTCTCTTAAAGGCATAGCTACTTAAGTAAGGGGTGCCTGGGTGGCTCAGTCGGTTAAATGGCCAGCTTCACTCAGGTCATGATCTCACAGGTCATGGGTTTGAGCCCCATGTTAGGCTCTGTGCTCATAGCTCACAGCCTGGAGCCTGCTTCAGATTCTGTGTGTCTCTCTCTCTGCCCCTCCCCTGCTTGTGCTCTATCTCTCTATGTCACTCAAAAATAAATAAATGTTAAACAAAACAAAAAAAAAAAAATTTAAAGGCACACCTACTTAAAAAGATGGCTCCTAAAGTAGCCACTGAATGAGGTCTTGGTAAAACCAGAGTTAACATATTTTCTAAACAATACTCAACTCAAAATATCTGGCTCAAATGGTTTTCAAAGACGGATACAGTAACATATTCACACCTATAAATTTATACAAGCAAAGTTTTCCAGTAATCTAAACAACAAACCAAATACCACCCCTAGCTCTTGCCTATGCCTGCAAAGGTTTAGCAAGAATTTACTTACGCTTACTTCCCTTATTTTGCAAAACTTTATTCTTCAAAGAAATTCCAATCTAAGATTGAAAACCTCCCAGTCATGCCAAAGCCTATTTCGATTTATAAAGAGCATTTAGATCCAGATTTAATAATCGTTACCTTTTGTTCTGCTGTTTTGTTTTGTTTTGTTTTGTTTTAATCTCAGAGATTTCGATTCTTACTCCAACCTGGTTTCAAGTACTTGCCTGTAACTCAAATAGTATGTTCTTTAAAATTTAAGGCAGGAGTATCCGGCTCCAAAAGATAAATCAAAAGAAATCCATTTTAGCTGCTTTCAACACAGATCTGTAGATGGGATAACTGGTTTTCCTATACTGTGTTAAGTGGTGAACAAAATGCATACACTTAAATCTTATTTTTTTTATTTGAATGCGTATAAAACTGTCGCTGATGAATTTGCTGGAAAACCTAGCTGGTGAAAATCATCTCCAGAAAATGATGCTTTAAGTCACCTGTTCAGTTTGCATCCATCTGGAGTCACTGTTTGAATTATCTATGTGAATAAATTACATTCTAATGAATAAAGGTTATTAGTTGCTTAAAAAGGTTTAAAATATTTAGTAGCCATGGTGGTTTCTGAAGATGACGTGTAAAGGCCAACCACTGAGAATTCCAGGATCGGTTCTAATGCCTAACCCTTCACAAAGCCAGGAAGAGCCACACAGGATTGCTCCAGATCGAGTAAAATGCTGCCAGATGTAACGCTGCTAAAATGTCAAATAGAAATAATACTTTAGATGCTGGCATATATTGATTGACTGATAATATACAAAACTATACATAATACAGAGTCATTACAGTGAAGTGTTTAAATTTAAGTGATTTCAGGCCTCTGTGCATATTTTTTCAGGACAGCAGAGAATCTGAAGGCAGTCTGGCTGTGACATCTGCGTTTCTGTCAATGTGACACACTTGGCAAGCTCCCCCTCCCCAGCCCGCCCCACCCCGCCTCTGCAAACCCTACACTCAAAGACAGCATTTCCATGGACGGGAGGATCCCTCCTAAACCAGGGTTACACTGGTCATTCCAATCTCCTGCTGGAATTTCCAGCAGCCAAGCAAGGATATCAATTCACTCCCAAAGTCCTCCTAAAATACTGTTT